TACAAGTTTTTCACAACTCAACAAAGAACAGTTCAAATGTTACGTATGTGAGTCTTAAAATTTAGATTTTTTTGTATATATTTTGAGACAATTGACTGTACAAACAAATCGAAAGGCAGTTGGATACCAGTTCAAGTGAAGATTCTTTCTTCCTAAACCAAAACTGTAACCTAAACCATACTCTTCTCTGAACCAGTATTTATTAAAATAACTAAGTCTTTATCAAACTTAATTCGAATGGCGCTTGTAGTTCACTTAAAACTATACAAATCAGCGTAACAACTTTTCCACAACTCTATGAGCCTTTTTAAAATCACACATTCCACACAAATTCTGTAACAAAATGAATATGTTTTTACACTCCAGCCTCATCTCCGATCTGGATTCGTCTCTCTGTTTCTCACGGACAGAATCGTGGCCTCGGACGTGAAAAATGTCTTTGCTTTGAAGTGTGTTTGGACCGGAGCAGGTACAGAGGAGCGCCCCAGACCTTAAATCAAGCGCTCTTTCCTGTGCGTCTGCGCGCTTGTTTATACAACGCAGTATTTCGGAGTACCATCCCACTTTTCATCGCAGTAAAAATACACACGCCGGGGGGTCAAAAGTTCAAGCCCGGGATCAACATCGGCCATTGTGTCCCGCAGGTGCTGTCAATGTACGGCTCTGAAATGTATATGTACACGCGCGGCGGGCTAACACTAACAGTTGTAGCTAAGAAAATAAAGCTAGTTGGTTGTTTTATTTATTACGGCAACTGCAGATAAAGTAAACAACAGATAATTTGCAACAACATGTGAAAAAAAAAGCATGGTAATCTATTTTTTACTTTTTAATAAGCAGGTAATTCTTTCTAACGCCATTCAATTCAATAGCGGTATTATTGTAAACATAGTTAGCGTAGCATAAGCAGTTAGTACACAACTAGCTTCTTATAATGAATTTATCCAATACTAAATTTAAAAAAAATTAAAATAATTTTATACACACACAAAAAATTGTCAATAAAATTACTTATTTCATATATCTGTGCTGATAACTTGTCAAATGATGATTTATAAATACATGGCTAAACTTTGTCGCAACTTAATACATAAAAAGCACTCATATAGTAAGTATAGTAAAATACTGGAGGACAGTATTAAAATTCTAGCAATTTCTAACAGTAATTCATATTTGAATCATCTTTAATTATCCATAACTGAGACGTGAAAATGAAGTCTTCACAATATAAACAATACTGAATGTGTTGATGTCATACTTCCAGATGGGAAACAGGAGCTACTTTTCCCGAAAAACACTGTACGTTACCATGAAATCTCCAAAAGATAAATTCACAAACATTGAACCTGATCATTTCTATTAGTGACTAGTCCCAAGAACTCACTCTGTTACAACAAAAACCTGCATTTGTGATCTGTATTAAATATTTTTAGCTTAAAAAAAGTCATGATGTCATCTGAAACCAAACAAAACCTGATTTTATCAGTGGTGGAAGAAGTACTCAGGTTTGTTACTTAAATAAAAGAAGAGATACCGGAGCAAAATAATACTCAAGTAAAAGTATCACATGAAAATTAATTAAAAGTATTAATGTACTTAAAGAGTAAAAAGTTCAAGTATTTTGCACAGAGTTTGAGCTGTAATAAAGTTTCAAATGTAGTGATTTTGACTCAGATTTGTGCTGAATTTTGTACAACAGGAACCACAGAATTTTTTTTTTCTTTGTATACTTTTGTTTGCTTGAACTACAAATGTGTTAAAAATAAACTGCTCAGCCTTTTCAGCAGGTCTCAAACTATAATTAAAAACACTTTTCAGTCTAGTTAAAAAATGTCCTTTCCTTAGTTACTTTCTGCCACTGCATTCTATAAAATATAGATGTAAAAAAATATTCAGAGATAAAAATAGATCTTCAAAGAGGTGATAAACAAACAAAACTATTTCCTCTTAGCTTCCTCTTTCCACCTCACCTTACAAACTGAACACAAGATGCGGCGCAGGCAGGAAAAAGGCCCCGTCACTTTGTACGAGAGCCCACGAACTCTGGGTGAACCCTGAGCGGAGCGGGGAGTACGGCTCGGAGCTCCACTCTGTCACTCCCCCTCCACCAGGAAAAAAAAGAAAGTACAACAAAACGTATAGACAGAGGAGACAAGCCAGCAGCATTCAGAGAAGAGAAGTATTCCATGTGTGTAGTAAAAGTACTACAGTATCATATTATTATTAATTGGAAAGTAAAATGTAATCTTATCACAATTGTACTAAGAAAAAATAAAGTACAACCAAACGCGTAGACAGAGGAGACAAAACAGCAGTATTCATGACAAGAGAACTATTCCATGTGTAGTAAAAGTACTGCAAAATCTCATTAGTATGTGGAAAGTAAATCGTAATCTTATCATAGGTTTACAAGATACTAATCTTGTCATGTATACAGTTAGTACTACAAAAAATACTAGTTATACTACTGCTAAAAACTGGTACTCTTGCCATTAATTAGTACTATAACTGTTGCTGGTTGTGTTAAAAAAAAAAAAAAAAGTAATCCAAATTGTAGTCTATAACTCGAAAATATACTTGTTATTTTAGTAGAAAGCAACCAAATTTTGGGATATACTGACAAAAAAATCACATCTCTGTATTTTTTTCGATTATTCCAATAAAAAAACTTCAGACGATATTTTGGGAATCCATCAGAACACAAAAGTATAAATAAAATATGATATAATAAAAGTTAACCCCTTTATGTTTTATTGGCCCATTTTATTGGCTCTTAGGCGAATACTTTTTTTGAAAATGATACATTTGACTGACTGGACCAAACAACATTTGCATTATCCTTTTTTTCTTCCATTCTACTTCTACCACTACTGCCTTTATTAGTACTATTAGTAGAATTTATAAACAATATACTCAATTATACTCAAATGGGACGATAAAATACTATGAGTAAGTTACGCATTTGCCCCCAGAGTCAGCGGTGGTGGTAAATTACTTAAGTACATGTTCCCATTAACATGTTTGCGGTTTGGGTCAAGAGAGGTACGGGAGGTCCGTGGGGGGTCGAGGGTACTACAGCGGGGGGCCTGAGGGGGAGTGAAGGAGGTGAACTTGAGAGAAAACAAAGTCCAGACGAAAAAACAACATGATCAAATGAACAACAGAGGAGTGATGACGCCTGGAGGTCAAGCGTGAGCCACGACAGAGGGCGCAGGTACGTCAACAGATATTTTTTTTATACTTTTATTGGAGAGCTACACAGTTTGGTCCTGGTTCAATACGGGTTTAGTCCTTATGTAGACTTGTTTTGGTCCTGGTTTAGTTCTGGTCTAGTCTAGGTTTAGTCTTAAGTGTGTATGTATGTGTATGTGTGAATGCGTCCATGTAGGGCTGCATAATATATTCCAAATTTACTGTATTCTTAAAGCTACAGTATGCAACTTTTTAACCAAAACAATAGACTAAAATAATAAAAGCATGTTATTTTCCCAGTGGCATTAAAAGTATCTAGGTCTGTAGCGAAATTTCCAAAGTACAGTATCGTTTATCGTTCTATTTCTATGGAATCAAGCCACCTATATAAAGTTACATAATGCCTCTTTAATATCAGCTAAAAAGAAATTCAGTATAACACAACTAACATTTTACAGATCTTTCCAAAATGTGTTTGTAGTTGTAAATGTGTTGTTGTATTTTAGCCTCGTTTTGGTCGTGGTTTAGTCAGTTGCTAGTGGGACATTATTTGATTTATTACTTACAACACCCAAGTAAAAATTATAGAAAGAATATTGCATTTTTTTCCTCTTGTATTTCTTTTTTTTTCTTATTTTGACTCTTTGAGAATTTTTGAAAAACTGAACGAGGACACAGCAGCTCTAGATCAGCTTGATCAAGCTTAAGTGACAATTTGACAATCAGCAATCCACACAAGCAGTGACAAAATTTACTAATTATTTCAAAAATTTCAACTACTAATGTTATATCCAAAAAATTTTCTCCAACACCATCATATACTGAAAGTACACACAGTACCTGTTGCCGGTACTACACACTACACACTCATGTTACTTTGAAATACTGCATACGGACAGACTGTACTTAGCAACGCCTGGTCTAAGACAGCTACTGCAACTTAGATCGCAGATGTTCTCTTTTACACATTCGTAGATCCATAGCTTCAAATCCAATCTTAATCCAATTTTTTATTTAAGAAATTAATCCACAATGTGTCAAATTCATACACTGTCCACACACTATAAAAACACATCTTAAAAATTACAAAACGTCTCCATTCCAGTTTACACGTTTTCATTACTTCCTCCATTCAAAAATTTGAGTAAATTCAACCCAATTAATTCATTTATTTAATTCTGTCAGTTTACTTCACCCAACATCTCCGTAAACATGCAATAGCTAAGTCCCATTTGTAGCCCATTAATATCCACATGCTACACACAAAAGACTACCAGAATCCATTTTCAAAATCAAAAACATGGCTATTTTGGACACATCTCTGTTACATTATTCTCATACCAATTATAAGACACACTGTTAACATCAGCCAAAGCAAGATTCCAACGCGCGGTACTGCCAAGACACACAATGGAGGAAGAGGCATTCAGTTGTCTTGACAGTAACTCGCGAGGGGGAAACCTGCGCGTTACAATAGCGTCAAAAAGCCTTATTCTTATTTTGACACCATAATTGATAAGTTCCATTTTGAGGCAATTGTGCGCAGTTTCCATATTGTGAAGGAGTTTGAGCGACTTAAGACGAGAAAGGAAACACATGTCAAGGAGAAATTTATGCTCCGATTGTGTTGTGACTGGGAAAAAACACTTTGAAATTTGGCTAGAAATAGAAAATTACGGCTTTCTGGTAAAATTATGTACTTTGAACAAGATTCAAGTGATAATAATATGAAATTTGCCAGGTTAAGTTGGAAGATTTGACACGTTACAGCAGCCTGGTCGTATGTGAATGTGAATAAAAGAACATACCTGTTTTTTCCTTAATTTCGCACAAAACGTTGAAAAGAGCAGGCTTCATCCGGTGGCAGTTCAGAGCATGTTTCCTAGGATAAGAAAAATCAGATATTATAAGATTTATTAACCAAAGTGTACTTCTAAAATGTACTGTATTTCTAGTCATTATGAATTCACAAGATTTGAAGTGTACACATAGGACTTCACTTATAGCTTGGCTAATTTAATTTCCACATTTTTCAAATTTTACATGAATTTACTTTATTGGTGTATATAATTATGCAATATAAGAAAAATTACCAGAAGGATTTTGACTTGTGTCTTACAGCAGATATGAAGATGCCAAACTCTTGAAAAAATATTATGAATTATGAATTACATACAATAATTATATTTTAAGAAACAATTAATGTAAATAATAGATTTACAGTATCAGTAACTGGAATCTTGGACCTAATATTGTCTTATAATTTTTCATATGGATTACAATGTGCCACTATTTTACGCTATATTTATATTCAGAAGCCTATTGCAATACAGGAGACTAGAGTAGATGCTTCTCGCTCTGATAAATTTCTACTGAATTGCAGATGTATGAATTATGTATTACAAGCCCAGAAGAAGTTGAATTGCATTTACGCGCAAAAACAAAAATCAATAATTACGCATCCGATTTAGATTCATATTTTATCCATTATTCAAAATCTTACGTGCATTAAGTGGTCATTATGAAAAGGTGGTTTAAAAAAAAAAAAAAAAAAAGAATAAAAATCAATTTAATTTTTTAACGTCATAAACATCATCGAGAACCAATCGCTACGTCGCGGTGTTCTAATAATTTGCGCGCCTTTTTCGGAATAAACACAAGTTCGATCCACGTTTCCCGGGTCTTTTCACGCGCTATCAATGCCCGGGCAGTGCGTCTCTCTTTACCTGGCTTGCGCTTCATCCAAACTCTGATCCGTGATGGTCATAATCTGCTGCAAAATGTCTCCAATGTCCTGCTTTCTCCCGTCGCCGTCCGCTCCGGAGCTCTCCTGCATGTGCTGCGGTAGACCCGGATGCCCTGCCATGCCTACCCCGGTGTGAGAGTGCATCAACCTCGCCTGCTCGTCCATCGCCTCTCCGTCTCCGCTCAGAGATTCTCGCAAGTCTTCTCGGTGAGTGAGTGTGTGAGTGAGTGTCGGCGCTCCCGTAGCAATCCTGCACAAACGCATGCAACAAAACAAAAAAAAAAACACGCGGGAATGTGGCTGGCGATGCTCCCGTTTGGATGCTTTCCTTCACCGCACCGTTTGCCGTTTTACAAAATTGACTCTGTCTCTATCTCTCCTTTTCAGCTGTGAGATGAAGTGCTTGGCTGGAGTCGGCTCAAGCTGTGCGTAAAACCGCTGCTTCCCGCGATCAACACTCACGGAACAAGACGAGTGGCTTCGGAAAAAATTCACGAGTGAGTGTCTACGCGAATCACCCCGTATGGATTTATTGGGCTGTCTCCATCATCTCGCTTTTGTCATAGGGAGTACAGTAGTGCAGGGGCATAGCAGGCAGCAGCCCACAACGTGAAGAGTCTAACCCCGCCCACGCCACATGATTGGGAATATAGGACCACTTAGCCCCACCTTGAGGCGAACCGTCCATCATTGCACGCTGCACTGTATATAGGTAAAGGATGCAGAGGAGATGGATAGCGCGAAGGGACAAATAAATAATGTAGTCTACCGCTAGAAGAGAGCTTTAGTTTCCCCCCTTTGACCCCCGTGGACCCTCGCTGCATCCGCGGGACACCACTCCATCTCCGAGGCGTGCCAAGAGAAAGAGAAGCTAAGGAGCAGGAGCAGGATAGTATGGCCTAGACCTTTCATTTATGTAAAGATAGAGAGATTATGAACGGAGAGAGTTATAGCTGGACAAGAACATAATTCACTGATGAAGAAAAATGTCACAAAATATTGATTAATTTCTATAGAACGTTTAAAGATGCAGTATGTAACTTTTCCGGTGAAGGGTCCCCCGCAGAATGGTGAAATTTTGAAGCACAAAACAGACATCGCCTACTGTAGTCAACGATCATTTTGAACTTTTACTTTATGCCACTCAAATCTGATATCATATTACAAAAATAAACAATTTTTTTTGCTAAGAAAATGTATACCTGATAAATATTTAGCTCCAAAAGTATATAGTTCCAGCTTTCAAATATCAAATGAAAACTTGATATAGTAATTATGGTGTATATGTTGATAATAATGATAATTGACAGGTCATATCTGTGGAGAGGAGACCCCACAAAGAGAAATAATGAATGTATTTTGCAGCATTTAAACACTTGTAATTAAATAAATGTATGTAAGTTTAATGAATACTCTTCAACAATCCAGGAAAAGCAATATCATCTCACTGGAAAAGCTGAATAGTGAACCTTTTGTGATAGTTACAATATGCAAATTTGCTTATTATTTTTCATATTTATTGTAATTTTGACTTACATTAACTCAAAAACTTGACTTGAAATTCATTGTATTGAACAGTTAAGCTGTGTTGAGCCTGTAGACAGCTTTTACAGTTTTAAAGACTCTAGTTTAGTGAATAGTGGATCAAATATGACAGGTAGACATTTATTTTCAATGGATTTTTTTGTATTTTGGTATTTGATTCTGGTTTAATACTACTACAGTTTAGATGTAATTCCAGTGATTTATCAAACAGATTATATATTATACACACGTTGAAGGAAAGATTGGAGAAAATCCATCTGACTTTGCTTAAATTATGCAATATTTAGTGAAAGAGCATAAAACATTAAACTGTATGTAGCTTTCATAGGAAGATATGTTCTCCCACAGTGAAAAATTTGCATATGCATTACATTTCTTACAAGCTTTTATGCAGTCTATCCAACTTCCATCACGAAAATCTGCACAAGCTTGTCCAACCAATGTTACTGTAATTTGCAGAACATCTATACAGCAACAGTATCAAATGTGAAAAACAGAACAGTTTGCAGTGCGCCAAAGTTATCCCTCACTTACCTTATGTATTCTGAGCATCCTGGTTGTTCGCTGTGTTAAGTTTATAAGCGCTTTTATCAGACTTTAAATGCTATTCTCAGATGGAGATAGTACGCAGCAGACTTATTTTGACCTCAAGAGTTGCTTAGACAATCTATCTTTACTGGGGCAAGAAAAGTGTACAAGGTTTTTAAGTATTTGATTTTTAAAGGTCCTATATTAAACAAATGGATTATTGTGAGCTTTAAGCCATTTTATAATGCCATTACCTTCTCAAAAACATGCCTGGAGTAGTGTTTTGTTTCATTCACATACGTTTAAGTGCCGTATTTTTCTGACTATAAGGCACACCAGATTAGAAGGCGCATTAAGCGAACTAATGGACACTTGAGACTGATCCCTTAGCCCAGGCGTCCACGATCCATTGGCAGATTGTGAAGTAATTCACCCGACGTTGCCTCCCTGTCTTGGTGAATATGTTTGGTGAAATTTAGCTTTTTTATTTCCTATGAGGAGGACTCAAATATACACTGAGTAATAATGTGTTTAATGCAGCTTTGTGCACATTTGTTTACATTTTACAGAAACGAAACTTAAAACCACATGGATAATTTGCATAAACTACAAGCGCTGACAAAAACAGCTTGCTCCTTGTGCGCTGATGCTCTCACCTTCTGTCAGACTCTGCGAGGCTCCTGACTACAGTAGGCGTAATGCTCTGACAGTCCATCAAGCGGTGCGGCTTCATAGCTTACCAAAGTTGTGCTAAAACATTTTGACAGATTTTTGAGCGCTGTGTAGCACATAAAATCTGTTCAAGGTTAGTAAGCACAACCGGAATTAATACATAAAGTGCACCGGATTACAAGGCGATTGTTGAGAAAATTAAAAGATTTTAAGTGCACCTTATAGTCTGAAAAATATGGTAACCCTTTATTAATAGTATGTCAACTAGTATATCCTAGCAAAGCTCAAAAGTCTCTGTTCCACCTTGTGATATCATGTGGTGGTAGTTTTCAAGCAAAGATGGGCAATTCCAGGGCTAAAATCACCCAAAAAATTCTAGTGAAGGTGTTTGGAGTTTAAAAACACAGTGACAACACAAGAGAGTGTTTTCTGCCTGAGAGAAGAGCTAAATATGCAGGATTTGTGTGTTAAACAAAACAACAAACAAAACACAACTCCAAGTATGTTTTTGAGGAGGAATTACAACATAGATCTTTCTCTAATATTAATACTCTAATCTCTAAGCGTACTTCCTTCACACTTTTGTTTTAACACGTCTTACTGTGTTATAGCTGTCCTAAGCAGTGTCCGCTCATGTTTCCAGGTAGGTCTCCCTCTCGCTCGGCTGGTTTTTGCTGGGTGCTCTCGTGTAGAACCGGTGACCCGTGCAGAGCAGTGAAGCAGGGACGCCCCTTCCCCGCCAGTGCAGTGTGTGTCCAGGCTGAAAAGTGTGCTCCAGGCCCAGAGATGCTTCGCTGGATGTCTACAACCAACAACATCGAGAGAGGGAGAGAGATGGGGAGGAGACAGAAAGAAAGAGAGAAAGACAGAGGTAAGGAGGAAAGAGTCGGCAACAAAATAACCTGGTTTAAAAAGTGTCATTCTGTTTGGTATGGCTAATCTGTTCCAAATAGGAAGTGAGTATGGGCACGCTTCCGGCTCCATCGACTCGTTCTGCCCCTCTTTCTGCAACTGCTGCTGCCAGACACATTGTTTTGGTCTTAAAATATTCGTATTAACTCGCTGTACATGATCCTGGTTCTTATTTCGATATTTTGTCCGTAAATCAAGACATGAACATTAATAACAGACAAAATAGATGCCCTCTTTTTCCGAGGTCGCTCTTGCCAGCATTAGCAATAGATTTGATTGACAGTGTCGCTAAGTTGCCTCTACTGCCTAAACCAGTGCGAAGAGGCGTGTACATTCAACATCCTTGCTTTGGATTGGCTCTGCTTTGGTTGCTATGATACTCATGGTCAGAATTCCAAATATGAAACTCGGCTCCAAATTCGACCCTGTAACCAAAGCCTCGATGAGCTTAATTTGACTGATGACGTCACACTTTACTTTAAAATTTCAAACTCAATTACAGAACTAAAGAACTTACTTGATACCGATTTTGATACACAAATAAGAATTTTAAAAGCTTTTCAATACAGAGGAATAGTTTCTTTGCTGTACCATGTGGTCTTAAACTAGGGCTGCGTTCCGACTGCAGCCTGAAGTGACTCAAATCCGATTTTTTCACCCCTATGCGAACTGTATCTGATCTTTTAATGACACAGATCAGATTTTTTCAAAACCAATACATATCTGATCTGATATGCAACTTCAGTCTGAACAGCCAGGTCGCATTCATCCCACCTACAGGCTCACAAATGTACACAAATGTCCTTCTCGTCATATGAAAATTTCCGTGTCACTGAAGCAGTGCAGCACATATCAATCCCTCCACTCTTGGCTGCGACTCTGCCCCACCACGTTCCTTTCTACGGACGTTGCTGCCACTACCCCACAAAACACCATGGCCAAAAACCTCATCCTCTTCCTTCTCTATCTCTTCCTTTAAACAAATAAGCTGTACATGTTCTGGCTCCGGTACGACACCAACTTCAAAATCTCCAGGTGCTCAGTGCTCGTGTCCATGTTTAGGCTACTTAGGTAAACACTGAGCACGCGTGCTGTGACGTCGTCGTGTCCTCCAGTGCACATACGGGACAGTTTTGGGGTGTTTAAAATTCACACTGGAGATCACATACAAGTCACATTTAATTGGAAATGTGAACAAACTTGCAAAAAAATCATATTTCACAAAAAAATCTGAATTGAGCATTAACCCCTGCAGTCTGAACAGAGTCTAGTTCTGACAAAACTCAAGAAGAAACTGTTAAGATGAAACTGTTCAAAATTGTATAAATTTTTGTGATTTTTTTTGCAGTCTATGCTATCTTAATGAGGTGTCCAGAAAACATAGTGCATCTTTAAATCATTACACATTGTTAAAAAAAACTTCAACTTAGCATAATACAGTAGCTTTATTGTTTATCCCAGACAGTAGAGTTAGTGAAAAGCAGATACTAATCGAGACTAAAACTAGTATCGAAACTACCAGTAGATACTCATTTGAGCAAGTATCAGCACTAAAAAGGTCACAGGACAGAAATTAACCTTTCCTGAATAGCTTTAGAATGATCTTGAGTTGTATCAGAACAAGTATAAGAGCACATAGACTAGTATACGCCCATGTACCAATATAGAACCTACCTACCTGGACCTGGACTGCACAGATTTAAGACCACATGGTGATATAAAAGATGTTGCAAATCACATCCTATTGCCTAAAGAAAGAGTGTTCTTCATTTTCATCACGATCTATTCCTCAGTATCAAAATCAAGTGTGAAATTTTAGTACTGTGACAACACTAGTGGCAAGTTTA